TGGGGGAGGGGGGAACGCAGAGTTAGTGTCTAATGGGTGCATAGTTTTATTTTGCAAGATGAAAAGCGTACTTTATACATCACAGAAAAGGAGGAAAGAAGGTTTGGTAACTTTTGCATCTCACCCACACTCCTCATGCTGGGCGTCCTCTATCTGGCCATAAGATGGCCAGGCTTGTCCTCACTAGAGCTCTTTTTGCTCTTATAAAATCATCAAAACACAGAGCCTGAAGGGAAGTTCAGAGTGTGGAAATGGAGAGAGTACGGCCCTCTTTTCACACGATAATTCCTTTCCTTCTCTCTTTATTTGTTGCTACAGAACTCACCAGTGTAGACCTTGGGTGCACAAACCTACTCATAATGGAACAATTGGCTCCAACAATATGCAAAGACCTGAAGACAGAACCATGTTGAAGGAAGGGCATGGTTTGTGTTAAACAGTTCTGACTAAGGCATCAAACACTGTTCTGAGTGGCTTCCAATCACGAACTCATTGAACCCTCATGATAACCTAATGAGATTGTTAACATTGTTTCACCACTCTGTAGGTTAGAAAACTGAGTCACAAAGATGTTAAATACATGCCAAGGTTTATTCCAGCTAATTAGATTTGTCGAGGTTATCACCTTTTTGAGATAGTCTCCCACATGAGTATCTTCACAGCACAATACACATTAAGGTCAACTGTAGCATCCCCTCCCCACTAGGTTTAACCTTTGATTTCCTGTTGAGTCTTCTGTATTTATTTAGTTCAGCCCGAGGTTCTACCGTAAGCCCACATCTGCAGTCCTAGGAATGTCTTATATACATACTGTAAGCCATGCTGGAGATGATGGATCTCAAGTCATGACTTAACCACTTAAAGGGTAAGTGACTCTGAAGATGTTATTAATCCTTTCTTTTTTGATCCTTAAAAAACCTGACTTTATTGAGATATAATTCGCATACTATACAATTTACCAGTTTAAAGTGAATAATTCAATGCTTTAAATTGTATATTCACAGAGTCATGCAACTGTCAATCTAATTGTAGAATATTGTCATCACCCCAGAAAGAAACTTTATATCCATCAGCAGTTCATCCCATGACCACCTCACTCTCCCAGCCCTAGGCAACCACTCATCTACTTTCTGTCTCTATAGATCACAAAGTACTTTTAAAAAATTGTGGTGAGATATACATGCATAAAATTTACTATTTTAACCATTTTTCAAAGTTTTTAAAAATTGTGGTTAAAAAACACATAACATAAAATTTACCACCAACCCCTTTTAAGTGTGTAGTTCAGTAGTGTTAAGAATATTTATATTGTTGTAAAACAGATCTCTAGAACGTTTTTATCTTGCAAACTTAAACTCTATACCCAAAAGGAGAGTTGTTTTTTCATGCACATAGAGTTTTATTTTCTACATTTTTAAGTGTACAGCTCAGTGGCATGACGTACATTCACATTGTTGTGCAGCCACAGCCACTATTAATCTCCAGAAATTTTTCATTATCTCAGATTGGAGCTCTGTATCACTATTAATCATTTATGAACTTCTGTTTGTTCATGTGACAATGAGGTTGATTAAAATAAATTTCACAGGTTTACAATACACTGTCATAAATGATATGACCAGCATAAAGCCTAAAGGGCTCTCAGGCCCTTGGCCTTGGACTGAGACTCACACTATTGGCTTCCCTGGTTCTGAAAGGTCTGGTTTCCAGTTTGCAGATGGACTATTGAGGGCCTCATCAGTCTCCACAATCGTGTGAACCAATTCCCCTAATAAATCCCTTCTCTTATATTTATATGCATATCCTATTGGCGCTGTCTCTCTGGAGAATCCTGACTAATGTAAAGCTATTATTTTTCTTTTTTTACATCAGGTAGCATCACACTAAATAATACAAAAATGTCTTCTGAGTGTGTTATGGAAGATTAACTTTTAAAAATTGCTCATATAATAAACTCTCCATGGTGATGAACCAGCTTCATGAAACTGAAATTCAAATGAATAATAAATTCCACTCTGAAGATAAAGAGGCAGCCCCCAGTGAGCTATCCATGTGGTGAGATTCATTTCAGAGTTTGCTACCCCTTGGGGCACTGTGGAAACTCTTAAGCTCTACAATGATTAAATAATACAGACCTCCAATTATTTTGAAAACTAAGCAGAAAAAAATAAATTAATGGGTTATAGCGAAACACATGCTAGTGTTTGAATTTTCCTTGTATCTGTAGAAATAAGGTTTATGAAATTAATAGGGTAATTCCCCATAGGATTATGACTTTCAATCTTGTCAATTTATAGATGAACACAAGCGGATACCTTCAAGATAAAGGGGGGATTTACTAAATATTTTTAGCATACTTATAAATTATTTATTTTTGGTGGGAACACTACTAGAAATTAAAAACAAAAATTAATGCAGGCTGGTTGGCTCACTTGGATAGTGAGGTGCTGATGACACCAAGGTCAAAGAGATAAAGGGGGGATTTACTAAATATTTTTAGCATACTTATAAATTATTTATTTTTGGTGGGGTGGGAACACTACTAGAAATTAAAAACAAAAATTAATGCAGGCTGGTTGGCTCACTTGGATAGTGAGGTGCTGATGACACCAAGGTCAAATGTTTGGAGCCCCTAACCAGCCAGCTGCCTGCCCCTCCACAAAAAAAGAAAAATTAAGAAAATGAAAAAGGATATAAAAAAATAAGATAACAAAGATGGAAGATCACAACTAATGTTCAGAAAGGTAGGGTGCAAATAGTATGAGATCCATGTAAGAAAACACCATATGATTGGTTTGAAAGTGGATCCAAGCGTGTTAGTACCTCTTTCTCCCTTGTGGTCTCCAAGTAGCTTTGTAGGACTTCACAAGTCCTGACTCATCTCTACCTTCAGCTCCAGGTGTTTACCTATGGCCCTTAGGGATTTGCCCAAAGTTCCATTCTGCTTGACATTTCTGTTTACTCCAGCTTGGTTCAGTCACATCTTTCCAGCTTTCCTGGGGTGGCGCCTGATGACTGTGTTGATTTTCAGCTAGTACTGCCAAGAGAGCCACAAGGACCAGTCCTGTGATGCCCATTTGGATCAAATTCTCCATTGTGTAATCTTGGTTCATGGAGTCTAGAAACACAATTAAAGAGATGAATGAGTGTTGGTTATTTTCCATTCTATCCCTACCCCAGAGCCCTGATATGGAAGCTCAGTTCCCTATTTGCTTGCCAAAATGTGTCCTCACTTGGACCTCCTCCTCAATGAGCTCACACATTCACAAGTATGATCCTTATCAGTCTGCAAGACTGAATCCACGGACGTGAAAATGTGGTTCCCAGGGGTGTCTCATAAACAGAGAAGGAAGTGAATTTGAGTCAACCATTGTATAATTGAGAGGGAGTGGGAGCTGGGCAAGACAGTTTTACATAATTTTCCAGAGTAAATGTATAGTAGATCACTGAATTCAGTATTGAAAACCAATTACAAAACTTGAATAATTCACATAAATTAAAATTAAAATTAAGCAAGGCCCCAGAATGTGGTTGGTGGTAGGGACAACCCATGGAGGAGGTGGCATTAGTATTGCAGGTTATTCCCTTTGGCTAATTGATTTGATTTATAGTTAAAAAATTCTTTATTTCTTCATCAGTTATACATGTTATAAATTTGTTTTTCCCATTTTCCATGTTATCTTTTAATGGGCATACATTTAAAAATTTAATTTGGTTGAATTTATTAATCTCTCCTTTAGAGTAGGTGGTTACTATATCTTGTTTCAGAAATTGTCTCCTATCTCAGTGTCAGGATACTTCTCTTCTGTATTATGTTAAACAAAATATTTTGCATTTTGCAATTAGGTCTCTAATCCATTTGGAATTGAGTTTTGCATCTGATTTTATTTCAGTCCTCTTACATGGATGCCCAGTTGTCCCTGCACCTTTAATTGAAGAGACCATTCTAGCCCACGTGATCTGGCAGTCCCATGTCTACAATACCACTTAGCTTGTAGCGTGAATGGAATGATGCTAGCTTTTGCACAAGGCAGATATGAGAGACGGATGTGGTCACTGTGCTCAGTGATTAGCAGCTGCTTTCTTCTCCCATAACTCTTGTCTTCTGTCTCTAAGCAGGGTGACGTAAGCAAATAATATAAAAATGGCTCTCATGATAGAGTTTTTTACAGTCTTTCTAATGATCATCATTTCCCAGCCACTCACTCACAGCAGATTCTAGTACCATAGGTTAGCTTAGGGATTCCCAGATGCAACTAGGCATGTGAAAGACAAGTGTGCTCATCTAGGTTGTGTATGGTTTCTACTGTCTCAACACGACCCCTTAATGTATGACTCTGAATGGTGGCCCCTCCTTTATCAATAGACTACATGCTTTTGAAGGATACTTTCTGGAGAGCTCTAGAATGGAGGTGAGAGTCGAATGTGGGGTGGGTAAGAAGTCCTTCTCTCTTCACAGTCCTCAAACAAGTGAGTCTTTACTTCCCTACTCTTCTGTCTCAGTGCACCTCTTCATATTCCTGCCTGTTGACAAGGCCCTGGCCAGCCAGGTCAGGACACAGGGCTGGGCTGGAATGGACCCACCTGTGACAACAAGGTCCAGGGCATCACTGGGGACTGACCACACATGGAGGCTGCCACTGCACCAACCGCAGCATGTGTAGTTCCCTGAGAAGCTGGAGTTCACAGGACCCAGACTGAAGCTGACTTGGTGTCTTCCATTTTGCTATGGTGGCAGGGACGCTTCCCCCTCCTTGGCCAGTGAAAATCTATCAAATGGGATGTGAGCTGAACCACACTGGAGGGAAATAATATCTCCCAGCATCATCACAAGACTGTGATTCGTGGAGAGAAAGGGTTGCACAAGCCTAAAAAGAAGGGAGTGAGCTGTTAGCAAGATTTTTTTCTTTTTGTACTTCTTTATTTATTTTTTGATGGAGAAAAATAAATTGTATATCTTTACGATGTATAACAGGATGTTCTAAAATATGTATACATTGTGGAACAGCTAAATGTGCTAATTAACATGTACATCACCTCACACATTTATTTTATGTGGTTAGAACATTTGAAATCTATTCTCTTACCAATTTTCAAGTATATAGTACATTGTTAACTATTCACACCATGATGTACGGTAGATCTCTTGAACTTATTTTTCCTATAAAACTAAAATTTAGTATATCTTGATTCATATGTACCCATTTCCACCACCCACAGTCCCTGAAACCAGCGTTCTACTCTGTGCTTACATGAGTGTGACTTTTTAGATTCCACATATTAGTGGGATCATGAAGTACTTGTCTTTCTGTGCCTGGCTTATTTCTGATAACATAATGCCTTCCAGGTTCATCCATGTAACACAAATGACAGGACTTCCTTTTTAATTAAGGCTAAATANGAAAGGGTTGCACAAGCCTAAAAAGAAGGGAGTGAGCTGTTAGCAAGATTTTTTTCTTTTTTTACTTCTTTATTTATTTTTTGATGGAGAAAAATAAATTGTATATCTTTATGATGTACAACAGGATGTTCTAAAATATGTATACATTGTGGAACAGCTAAATGTGCTAATTAACATGTACATCACCTTACACATTTATTTTATGTGGTTAGAACATTTGAAATCTATTCTCTTACCAATTTTCAAGTATATAGTACGAGAAAGGGTTGCACAAGCCTAAAAAGAAGGGAGTGAGCTGTTAGCAAGATTTTTTTCTTTTTGTACTTCTTTATTTATTTTTTGATGGAGAAAAATAAATTGTATATCTTTACGATGTATAACAGGATGTTCTAAAATATGTATACATTGTGGAACAGCTAAATGTGCTAATTAACATGTACATCACCTCACACATTTATTTTATGTGGTTAGAACATTTGAAATCTATTCTCTTACCAATTTTCAAGTATATAGTACGTTGTTAACTATTCACACCATGATGTACGGTAGATCTCTTGAACTTATTTTTCCTATAAAACTAAAATTTAGTATATCTTGATTCATATGTACCCATTTCCACCACCCACAGTCCCTGAAACCAGCGTTCTACTCTGTGCTTACATGAGTGTGACTTTTTAGATTCCTCATATTAGTGGGATCATGAAGTACTTGTCTTTCTGTGCCTGGCTTATTTCTGATAACATAATAACGGTAGATCTCTTGAACTTATTTTTCCTATAAAACTAAAATTTAGTATATCTTGATTCATATGTACCCATTTCCACCACCCACAGTCCCTGAAACCAGCGTTCTACTCTGTGCTTACATGAGTGTGACTTTTTAGATTCCACATATTAGTGGGATCATGAAGTACTTGTCTTTCTGTGCCTGGCTTATTTCTGATAACATAATGCCTTCCAGGTTCATCCATGTAACACAAATGACAGGACTTCCTTTTTAATTAAGGCTAAATAGTATTTCATTGTGTATATAAACTACATTTTCTTTATCCATTTATCTGTTGACAGATACTTAGGTGATTTCATATCTTGGCTATTGTGCTGCAGTGGACATGTAAGTGCAGATATTTAAGATTTTTTTCTTTCTTCGTTAGCTTTGCCCGTGTGTTGAATTTATGCTAAGCGAGGGGAGATGTGGAAATTCTCTGCTCCAAAGCTATAGGAGTTGGGAACCACAGGATCCATACTCTGTCTGAAACTATTGCCAACAGGTCTGAGCAAACAAATGGTTCATGGGGCTTAGATGAGCTACCATTGTAAAGAGATGAGAATCTGGTCTCTAAAGCCAGAAGAGCCATATGTTGGGAAAAGAGGAGGATGGTATCCAGATAGTTTGAGGAGCAATTTCAGGGACTGAAGGAGGAGACACCATGTAAAAAGAATGTCAGCAGTGGTAGGACATAGATTTCAGGGTGCAGTCTTCTAGAAACACAAGGTCCAGGCCACCCTGAGGACAGAGCTGAAAACAGGGCTAGACTCCAGCATGGGGAGCATAATTCCTCACTCCCTGAGTAGGGGCTGCACATGGTGACTTCCTTACATACGGAAACGTTCAGAAGGAAGATGAGTAACTGTACAGTGGAGAAACCTAACAAACACTACCTCGACCAGGCACTCAAGGTCAACGTCAACAACCACATTCATGTGGATAGTATGGAACCTTGACACGATGTGATGAAAATGGCACTTTGCTTCTCTGGTCTTCCTTGCAAAAACCCACAACTGTCTAATCATGAGGAAAACACAAACAATGTCCAGTAGTGGAGGAATCCTAGAAAGTACTTGACCAACACTCTTCAAACTGTCAAGGCCATCAAAAACAAGGAAAGTCTGAGAAACTGTCACAGCCCAGAGGAGCCTAGAGAGACATGACAACTCAATGCCATATGAGATCCTGGAACAGAAGGACATTAGGTAACAGGTAAGGAAATCTACGTATACTACAAACTTTAGCTGAGAATGATGGTTCATTAATGGTGAAAAAATTTCCATACTAATATAAGATGTTAACAATAGGGGTAACTGGGCACTGAATATACAGGAATTTTCTGTAGTATCTTCTTCATCTTTCTGGAAATCTAAAGCTGTTCCAAAAATAATGTCCGTTAAAAGTAAGACTATACTGCCCTTCTGGGGTGAGCCTAGGAGACCCGCTACTGCCACAGATCCTGGAACAGGACCCAAGGTGGTGTAATATAGTCACTACCATACCTACTGTCAAGCAAAGACAATTCACCAGCGCAGTAGCAGCCAGGGCCACTCCACAGGAAATCTACTTCTCACTCAACTACAATGATATAAGAAGATTCACCAATAAACGCTGCTAACAGAGTAGGAAATCTTTGTCCTCATAGCCAATCTCAGTGTAATAGAAGAAGAAAACCCTCTACCAAATGACCAAACATCAACGAAAAAAATACTAGGACTACAAATAAACAAGAAGATATGACACCACTGAAGGATTACAGCAATGCTCAAATTTCAGACTCTGTGGAACAGGGAATCCTTGAAATATCTGAAAAAGAGTTCTGAGCAATGATCTTAAGGAAACTTGAAGAAATAAAAGAAGACTGAAAATAGAGATCACAATGGAACAAGAAAAAATATCCAGAATATGAAGGAGGAAATTTATAAAGAGATTAGTACCTTAAAAAAGAG